CTGACTTCTTCCTCCATCCCACTTAACCCTTAGTCTATGTGTCCTTTGCTCAGTTTTCTCTTTTACTTTCGTAGCTGTCTTCGAGTCAACTCAGACCAGAGCCATTGAGTTTTGCCCTTGGCTCAACAGATTGTGCAGGAAGATCAACTTGCCCGGAGTCCCACATCTGTGGAGATACCAGCAATAAAGCCCTAAAAATCCTGACTGAATATACTGCTAATTTTAGCTGATAAAAGCTTAACGAGAAGATTTCTTCTCTCTATTTGTGACTTCAGCTATTGAGATTTCAACAGGAACAGAAACTCATCAGTTTTCAGAATAAATTTATGCATAATATTCCTGTGCTCCGTGTATCATTTTTCCACCTAATGACAAATATACAAACTTTCAGCTGAGCAACACAAGTGTGGGCTCTGATTTAAACCAAATCCAGAAAAATATATTGTCAAACAGAGCATAATAAGCCCGCCTCAAGCAGCTCTTTCAGCGGCTGACCACAAAATATGAACTGCAATCTGCGTTAACTGCATTTTAATTGGTTTTGGCCAGAGCCCGCAAAGGGCGTTCGCAGAGCCCAAGCAGATATTTATAGCTGCCACCAAGGGGCGGTAAAGGCTGAGTGGAAGGTGGGATGGTGGGATGGTGGGTTCAGGTTCAATTTCAACCCTTCTGGCCATAATCTAAAATTCACTTTCGGTTCGTGGCGGATAAGGTTGGTCCAGGTATTCCCCCATAAGCAACCCAGTTAACCTGGGGTTAACAGTCACTGTGGGGGACTTGTGGCACTCGTGGTGGGGTTGTTTTCTGTCATATCCATTGGAAATCCTGTAAATTTCCCAATTTCTATTTGTTGGACAATCAATTGAAGAGCCGAAAAAACATTGTTCTGATCAATAATTCAATAAATTGTGGCTCCAAAGTTTGATTTTGTTTGCTTTCCCCATGCACATGCGTAGATATATCTATAGATGGTATATGTCTAGCGCTTACATAGATTCATATTTCTGTCTATGCTTGCTTGTGTGCGCGTATGTGTGTTTGTATATGTATCTATAGCTAGCATATTCATTGTCCTCGACAGATCCATGGCAACTTTTTTGTTGTTGTTCCCTTGCTGAAGGGGAAGCTGCTATAAATAAAACGTTGGCGATGTTGCGTGTGCGTCAGAAGCAGCACTTCCCTGTAGGTCACGCTGCCCCATGTCACCTCTCTGGCCACCCTCGTCCATTATTATTTCATCGAGCTAATGCCATACACGTAATCTAATTTTTAAACCAGAACCTAGGCGCGCAACCGGAAAAGAACGAGCGGTCGACCCTCTAACCAGCTTTGGGAACTTATTTTTTGAATGGAAATTCGATTGTTGGTTCCTTCCAACTGCCCTTCTCTATCTTCCTCACATTTTTTTCCTTTTATTAATCGACTTCGTCTTATGTTAAGATCAAGGAATGCAAGAGGGGATGTTTTTAAAATTATAATACAATGACGCACTTGACATTTTTAGTATTATAAAAAACCCACGGCTTGGAGTGTAGTTACAGGACTTGCTGACTCTTCCACTGCTTGGTATTCAGTCAGACAGTTTCCATTTCTATTTTTCCGCTATTGGTTTGATTCCGCTACATCTGTGTCTCTTTCCTTCCTCCCACACCAATGGCGTGCTCTAACTCGCTCTCCTCTGACAGCGTAGCCACTGCAAATTAATTTTATCCAGGCTTGGAAATCTGGTAGATATGGTTATTATCTACGATACTGCGTTTTCTCTTATCTTTCAATTTTATACCGAAGTAAGCTGCGATGAGCTCGAGAGTGGCCGAGGAGGATTCCCGCAAGGACGCGGATAACGAAGTCGCTTCGGAGCCAGGCGAGCTACTGACAGTAGCTCGTGTGAGAAATGCATCGTGGACTGGGGGCCATGCAATCATGCCTTTCACTCTCACTGCATTACGAGATGGGCCAAGCTGAGCTCTGTCTGTCCGCTTGATAATCGCGAATGGTAGCCAATTAAATGCGGAGCTAACCCACTGGATGGAGCTGAGACATCGTGGAGATTCAATATACATGTTCCAACTCATTCGACTATTCATTTTTACACTCTTCTTTAATATCTTGTGCTTATCTATAAATGGTTCCCATTCCTCCTGGCAAATGCAACCAAAACTAAAAGATCTGCTTTGTCCTTCCTACCAAAATCCCCCTCCCACTTTAACCAATAAATTAAAATGAAATGAAATGGGCGTTCAAACACACATTTTTAGGTCAAATTTAAGGTTTTTTTTATTAATTTTTAATTTTTGAGGAACCTATTTGTGGAACCATGTCACATTCTCTGTCTATCATTAAAAAAAAACAGCATGCAATTTGGTGAACGCGTTGCAGAGATAGCGGCTTACAAACATATTTTTTTCTACAAATTTATAGTATTGATTAAAAAATGTTACATTTCTACATATTTTTGCTACAACTGTTATCTACATCTACAATGTATATTCTACATATGAAATGTAGATTATACATTTTACATTTATATTCTGCATCTCCTCCGCTAGAGGGCGCTCGGGCACTGAACGAGTCAGAGTGTGCGAGCGAGAAAGAGAATGAGTAGCGTCAGCGGTGTTGAGAGGAGGTGGGGGAAGCAAGTAAAATGATTTCTTCATTCTGACTATAATAATGATCTGATCTGATTCAGATTCGGCAATCTGGTAGATATGGCCATATTCTACGATACTGCGTTTTAAGTTGTATCGTATCTTTAAAATTAAGGAGTCTAGCTCATATAGTCTCTGAGATCTAGGCGATAAACCAGACGGACAGACAGAAAGACAGACGGACAGACAGACATACGGACAGACATACATCGACTTGGCTATTGATGCTGATCAAGAATATATATACTTTATGGGGTCGGAAACGTTTCTTTCTCTGCGTTGCACACATCCACTTTTACCACAAATCTAATATGCCCCTAACTCTTCGAATACGGGTATAAAAAACAGAGGGTCATTGGCCTATTTCGGAGCTATACAAATACATATATGGTATAGCCCCAGTGGACCAAAACTTCGTAAACGATATCGTAAACATGAGTTAAGCAAAACTCAACCGGATAAAACTATCGAATTCAGATCCGAAAACGATATAAAAATGAATCACTAGTCGCTCAGTTTGTGGCAGTGAAAGTTTCGTTTTCGGTAGCTCGCAGAAGGTATCGTTTTCGAGCCTTTTGTAACATCTTATGCGAGCCTTTTATGTTTTTATCATTTACGATACGATTTTAATATGATTAACGAGCCAAAATTAATATTAAAAGTAGCCCACTATTAATATTAAAAGTAAATTAAAAAAAATTAATTTTTTTGGCTTGTATTTTAATCTGTTTGAATATTTATTATTTAAGTAGGGACGGCGCAAACGCAAGAATACTTTATAATTTTAAGACGTGTTCAGTTTTCACTCATTTTTAATTCCGTTTTCGATAATTTTGCGAGACTTTAGTCGACGCTTGGTTTTGGCACAATAAATGCTCTTTTCTGAATCCGCTGCGAACATTTAGCGAGACTTTACCAGTAGCTAGCTATTTAATCCATTGTTTTATTTTCTTGTCAATTTCTCACTAATTTTTAAGTCCGTTTGCGATCATTTTGAGAGACTTAAACATCCCACGGTTTTTGTCCGCTAAATGCTCTTATTTGAGTCCGCTTGCGGACATTGAGCGAGGCTTCAGTAATCGCTCATGGATTTTTACTATCGTCTTGTGGTCCACTGGGAGGTTGCATCAATGCCAAACTTACATATGTATGTGTATACTTAGTGAGTACCGGGTATTGTAAAGGACCCACATAATGACTCGTTTTTATTAGTTTCCTTCTCTATATTCATAAATCTGTTCGATTTTGATTGTGAGAGAAGTGTAGTATAATTTACAACTTAAATCTTTATTTCGCTTGGGGCTTTAATTAGTGTAAGTTGCTTCTCCTATTTATCTCACAATGTTCGGTCGAGGGTGTGACTGACTTTGCAACACCTCAGGACACGGATGCCGCAAAGCAGGTTGACCTCTTCAGACGTCCTTAATACCCCCTTCATTTGCGTTCATCTGCCTCGATATCCTCCGCCTTCGTCGCAGCTCCACCCCTTTTTGTTGGCATTACTTTATGAGTAAAAGGAGCAGAGGTGTGGCAGGAGGGGAAGGTAGAATGAAAGTAAATTAAAATAAAAATTTACTTTTAATTATGTTGTAATAAAGATATTCCACTTGGTCCTGCTCCTTCTCCTGCTTCTTTTCTCTCTCTCTCTTTCTTTCTTTCTTTTTCTCTGTCTTTCTTTATTTGCAACTGCAGCAAACTCAGCCAAGCGTGGAAACAATGAGAGAAACAGAGAGAGGAAGGTAGCACCACAAGGAATCAGAGTTGGGTCAAAGCGAAAGCATTTATTAATTGACTGGGTCAATTATATGGGCGAAAAAAAACGCAGAAAAGTTTCCCACAAAGACCCAATGGGTTAATGGTAACTTATGGGATGAAGCAGGGGGAAGGGTGAAAGGTACTCCCAATAAACGGCACAGCCAGTGCAGGCGATTGGCTCCATGGGAAGGCAAGGCAAGTGCTGCGGTGTTGGCCAAATGGGGCCAACAAATTAAAACTACGATCCCCCAAAGGCAGAAAGGCAAGTGCAATTATTGCCAGGCCAATGGGTTTCGATTTGATTTCCTACTTGATGGTCGAGCGAGTATGCGAGAGTGGGTACATGGAGCCAGATGGAGTGGAGAACAAATGGAGCGATGAGAGCTAACAAATACGTACAAATAATTCTATAAAGAACAGAATTCTGCTGAATATGCTGGCCATAACCATCGATCTGTATCCTTTGGCACACAAGTCCCTACGGCTATATTATAAGCCTTTATAGATGGCCCACGTGCCATTCCATCCAAACATTTGGAGTCAGGAGATCAAATACGACAGATGAAAGTAATAGGAACCAACATAAAGCATTTAATTAATTTGTATTTTATAAATTTATTGTGTATACTGTGTCGTCCATGTCTAGAATCGCAAGGTACTTCTTTAGGTGGCGTGTAGAATATTGGTGCGTCGAAGAAATAAATGGTTTCCATTCTGAACACTTCAAGGGTCGTTTGCTGTGTGAATACGTGCGTGTTTATCCAGATAAGATTTGAGCTTAAATGATTTTGTGCAGCGAGAGCACTGGAAAGGTCGATCATTAGAGTGAATACTCATGTGCTTATTCAGGATAGTCGATTGTGTAAACGCCTTGAAACATATGGGGCACTTATATGGTCGCTCTCCAGTGTGCACACGGCTGTGTACCTTCAGTTCGTATTTGCGTATAAACGACTTTGGACAGTCGGGGCACTTGTTGGGTCGATCCCCTGTGTGCGAACGGGTGTGCACATTCAATCTGAATTTGTTTGGGAAGGGTTTCGAGCAGAAGCTGCATATATGGTGGGGCTGGCCAACTCTGTGCGAGCGCTTGTGTATATCGAGACTGTGTTGGTTCAGGTACGCATTTGGACAGTCGGCGCACTTGAAGGGCCGATCAGCTGTGTGAATGCGGCTGTGTGCATCAAGTTTGCTTTGCTTTGCGAAACAACTTGGACATTCGGGACATTTGAAGGGCGGATCACCTATGTGCTTGCGCATGTGAAATTGGAGACTTGACTTCCGCGAATAACTTTTGTCGCACAGAGCACATTTAAAGCGAGGGACCACACTCTCAACAGCTTCATGTATTTCCTCCTCGCCTGAAATTTCCTGATTAACAGAGAGGTATTCTTCTAGATCCTTCTCCATCTCTGGAAAAATAATTGCAGGGCTCTGCACGCCGTTTTCCTGCAGGCTGAAGCCACTCAATGCCTCATCAAGGCAACGCGCACATATATGTTCTGGTAGCGAATCATCACCGTACCCGGTACAATCAGCCATCAGTTCGGCAAGGCACGTGTTCAAATCTGTCTCATCGAACATCTGATTGAGTGTCTCGGAATTCGCCATGCAAACTCTGCATATTTCCGCCATTGTGCTGCAAGTAAATGAATTTTAATGAACCGAATACAACAATTTTTATAGATTTCAAAATGAAATAAACAAAATAAAACCAACAATCAGCCAAATGTTGTAGTTTTTCTCCGTTGAAAAATAAGATGCGGTGCTTCCTCTCTGAAATGAAATGAAACGAAACCAAATGTGCTGTTAAGCGCAAGCGCTGATTGTTATCGGATGCAACAGTGCTTATGCTTTATTTTCACTTAATCTGATTAGATTTGACCAATCAATTTATTTATTGAAATCAAATTGGAACGAAATAAGATTCTACAATGATATTATTCTACTAAATCGAAATTGTTCTGCACATCAAATTTGCTTCATTATGTTTATATATCATTATTAATATGTACAACCCGAGCTGCAGGCTCACGTCGCCATAGCTCAAAACGCTGGTCAGCTCATAATTTTAATTAATTGCTAGCACTTTATAATAATAATAATAAAATCATTATTTATTTATCCAAAAATAATCCCCGGTTAAGCTACTTACTCCAACGTTCTCCAGAACGTTGCTCAAGAGTTTCCTCTTTGATTAAGTGTTCCTTGTCTGACAGAGTGAGACCATATCGTCACTTCCCCTTCCAAATTCTCCACGCAAATTTCGAATTCATTAACCCCCGATAGCCATGTTTATTTTTAGTCGTTCTTCGATTAGTTTTTTTCGCTTTGCATAACATTTTGGCGCGTGAAAATTATGACTGAGGGAAAAGGTGCAAATTAGAGCCTTGGATTAATATCCACAGTTTTCTTATGAATACGCAGCTAAACACTCTGCTGGGCCTCTTTAATGCTTTCTATCATTGTTTAACCCTGGGGAGAGCAGTGTGCAGTGTGGAAGCACTGCAAAAAACTCCACAGAGAATTGGCTGAAAATAATAAATAAATAAATATGAGCATGAAGACTATTTCGTGCATTTTCCTGTCGTTTTCCATAATTTGGTTGATTATTACTCTCTTTTAGTTTTACCGTGACCCTCAATTAGGGCGGAAACTCTGACAGTAGCCCCCGGAGAAAACAAAAAAAGTAGAAAAAAATTTTCAAATTGAATTGGTTGGACCGCCGTTGAATAATTCAAACTGGCCCTTTACTATTTTTATGGCTGCATTGAATTGGACACCAGGCCACGCCCACCAACTAGGTCAAGTTCGGCTCCACCTCACCGCCTTTCTACCTTCCTCCTAAGCCCAGTGATGCTATGACCCAAAAGCAAGGACCTTGCCGCATCAATTTTATGAACTGCGACAGAAAAAATTGAAGAATTTTTAACTCCAACAATGCAGTCAGTCTCTAGAGAATCAAAGAGAGTGGGAAAGAGAGAGTTGGGCTGATTAACTCTCTTTCGCTCATTTTGTGTCTCCATATTTGCTCTCCGTCTCTCGTTGTCTCCATAAAATATTGTTTGCGCCGTCTGGCCTGCCAACTCAATCAATCCAATGCCACCAGATGAAAGTATCTTAGATATACTGTGTAGAAAGAGAGAGAGAGAGACTGATAGGTGTGGTACTATGGGAGAGACAGAGAGCTAAAGGGAGCTGGGTCAGTGGTCAGTAGTCGTTGGCAATTAATGGTCATATGTTGGCAGGCCATTTAACCAGGCCAAGCTGCCAACTTGTTTGCCAGGTTTCCACTTCACTCCCTTTTTCATCCATCCATCACATCACTGTGCCCATTGGAGTGAAAGGGAGAGAGGCAAATAGAAACAGAGATGGAGAATGAAATTCAATTAAGCCTTAACACGTTATCTGAGTGTTAATTCTCAAAAACGAGAGAGAGCCAACGCTAGAATGAGGCAATCTACTGAAAGTTTTCACCAAATTTTGTAAGAGAAAAGGAGAGACAACATGGGATTACCTATACGACTGCATACATATGCACAGTACACGGAAGGAGCAATGAAGTCCTCTTTAAATTTACTGAAACTAAGGACTATTAGCAGTTCTGAAAGAAATGTCTCGATAATTTTTGGGCAGTGGATTATGAAACTTATATAATATTGGTAGAACTGTAAATCGATTGGGTAAGTTGCCTTTGAACGAAAGGTGAATTATTTAATTATTAATTTATTCGATTCACGATAATCCTCTCTAATACGGGGCTTAGTTCGTTTGACTAATTTTATTTATTATTGAATGCTGATAAGCTTTCATGTAAAGCTTTGGCATTCAGCATTTTGTATGTAAATATACCCGTACATGTGTATGTATGTATATGAGAGCATATATGTACATGGGTATGCATATTTTTTTTTTAGCTAGATTACACCATCCGAAAATTCAAATTAGATTCCAAATTGAGTTCTGCATGAATTCCGCTTAAGGTTTCAATTTACAGCCTTTTTTGGCCCTAACCAATTGCATTTCCCCTTCGAAAATTCTGTTAGCCACAGCCCCACTATACGACTCTTTAGTATTGGTTAGTTTTTTTTTTTGCTGTATTTGCCATGCGAAAGTTGCAGTTGAGCTGCGGTCAGAGCTTGTCCTGAATTATTGATTGGACTTTAATAAATTTAATTGCACCGCCCACCGCTGACACTGTATCGCAACTTGTTCCACTCTCCCTCTCAGAAAGGTGTGTGGGTAGAAGGATTTAGTTTAGCGTGCAAAAGAATGCAGTTTTTGTTTCGCTTTCCTTTTTTCTCCTGTGGAGAGCAAAAAAAAAAACGAATGGAAATTGGTTGGGCAGGGTAATGGAAACATGCCAGATTCCTGTCAACAGTTTCGGTTTTCGGTGTTGTGCGATTCATTAAACATATTTATGGCCACCTGTCTGGACACTGGACAGACCGCAATGGCAGTATCCAAATAAATAATATAAATAATACGAGTATGTGGGGCAGGGGAGAGTGAAAAGTTTTTAATTTCCGCAAAAGGATCAACCAGGATAATGCAGCGTCCATAAATAATGATTGGCAAATTATGAAATTGCCAACAAACAATTGCCGGCAATAATTCCGCCGCTTGGAGATAGCCAAAACAATGCAAAAACAAATAAAAAATAAAATAAAAAAGAGCGATAGCGGAAACCATAATTATGCCATAATAGTTTGGCGGACACGGATACCCTGGCTTCAAGGAGAAACTACGCTGACCGCAGACCAGTACCATAGAGCTTAAAATCATTGAGACTTGTCATAAATATCCAAAGATTATCCTCGAAAATCTTTATGAAAGTTTTTATTTAGTTTTTTTGAAATATTTACTTATTGTTTGTGAGCCACTGAACAAGAAACCACTGAGTACCTGAGTACCACTCAATGGTAATTCTCTGTAATATTCGATCATTGCACTGACCACCTTGATCGGGAATAAGCGAGCATATGCAAGCATTGCCATTGACGAACCCTTTTTCCAAATTCTCAGAAAACAAACACATCGCACACTTATAGTACATACATATGTACAGTGCCAGACTTGAGTCTTCAGACTTCAGTTTGTTGATGCTTTAAGAGTTTTTCATCGAGATTTTCAAAAGAAAAAGAAGTGTGTCACATAAATGAAGTGGCTAGAATACGATTGGCTACAAGCGTAATTTTATTGAATTATTTTGTAAATTTTTTGAAACGAAAAAAAGGTCTCAAATTAGTAGTCGAACACAAGAGCAAATACCGCAAAATACGTGAAGGTTTGATGGTGTTTTGCGTTGCGCCTGTGCTCTTTCTGATGAAGATCAAACTAATATGTGGGGATTACGTAAATATATGAATAAAGCTCTGTTAACAATGCCCGCCGATAAAAATGAAAAACACAAGCCATTAAGTTAGCAGGCAGTGGGACATTTTTGATTTGAGGATCTTTTTGAAAACATGGACATATGTGCTCAAAGTTTAAGTGTTTCGTTAGCTATTTACACATATTGTTTATTTAATTAAATGAGCTTTTTTCTTAAGACACACCAAAACATTATAAAAACAAAACATGTCCACATTTTACTGTCCGCTTGCTTTTATTTTTATTTTTCGTACTTTTCCTTTCTATTTCGCCGGATAGTAAGTAATAAGTAGTAAGTGTGGGCTAAGTAAAAGAGTTTTCTAGTGTTGATTTTTCATTTAAAGCAAATATATTGACGTCACGTTTTCTTCGAGAATGTTCCCGGCTAAACAAGATGGCGGCCCGCAACACGTTCCACACAGATTGACCGAATAAAATTCATTTTCGGCTGTTTTTTAATATGCCGTAGTGGACAGAAGAACCGCAAGCGGTTTATTTGTTTTTTTATCGAGTTTTTACAATTTTTTATGAGTTTTCTTAAACAATTTTGCGCTTTTTCAGTAGAGTTTTCGAACCACGCCAAATCTGTACCGTACAGGGTTGCCACCGAACTTGTTAAACATAACAAAAATATAAATAACATAAAAATAGCATTGATTGTTTGCCCACGCAAATAATTGATTGTCCATAGGAAAGATATTGTGGTCCTCGTTGTAAACTGCGCGCTCCATTCTTTCGTTAATTGTTCAAGTTTTAACAATCCGAATTCAACCCTACTTCAATCGGTACATCGGTAGAAATATCGTAGAGACTTCGAGGATTTTTTTGACAGATAAGATATCGTAGTTGCAACATTTGTCGACCAGATTTTTATTAATTCGCTTCTCGTTTAAGTCTTGCTCGTATCCCAAAAAATGTCTTCGGAAGGCGCTAAATTTCCGTATGTGGGTGAAAGCGGCCAACGTTTTCCGCCAAATGCAGACGACGGGCCAGTAGCAACAGCTTCAAAAGCTACTCAGACTGAGAAAGATAATTTTCTCGATTTTTTCTCGCAAAACAAAGAGAACACAGCCGCCGCACCAGCAAGTCAAAAGAAGCTGCTGAAGCTCTGCGCCCTCTCCGATGTGTTCATCACCTCCTTTTGCCCCCACGAAACTGGTGTCAAGACGGAGAAGTCCTTCACATGTGTCCACAAACGCAGCACGCCGACAATCTCCATGCCCAAGAGCGTGCTTTCAGAGCTGAATGTTGACAGCTGCAGTCGGGAACTGCTCGACACACCATCCACATCGAAGAAGGCCCGGCGGGACCTGACAAAACCACAAAAGCTGCGTCCCACGCTCAAGCAGACGCCCATCATTGAGTCCGGCAGCGCCGACGAATCGTCAGATGCCTCGCCGCTCGTCAAACCCAACCGTACCAAATCGGATACGCCGCCATCTTCAGCTCCGTCGCACCAAGTGGCCAAGCGGACCAAAAAGCAGATTGCTGCCAAAAGCGTGGAGGCAACAGCACCTGTGGACACGCCCAAGCGTCCATCTCTGTTGATGGCGCGTCGTAAGTTCCTTAAGCCAGTTCGTCTGCCCTTCCATCCGCATAAACGGACCCCAGCCCAACTAGCCGTCGATAAGGAGAGAGCCAGAACCAAGTGCCCATCTCTGTTCTTTCTCCCAGTCCCAGTCTCCCAGTCTTCCCCCAAGCCAGGATCAGAAGCGCAAGAGGATCCCCCTTCAGTTGAGGAGTCTGTAGAGGTAGTAAAAGAACTGCCTCAATCATCACCAGAGAAAGAAACATCACAGACTCATTTGGAATCCTCCAAGGGACCTGTCCTTAGTGCCCCAATTGCCATGGCAGAGGAAAGCATCCCTCTACCTGCAGTTGAGGAGCCTGTAAATCATTCATTACCAGAAAAAGAAGGGAAACGCGCAGAGATTCGATCAGAACCTTGCAAGGAACCTTTCCTCAATGCTCCACCTCCAATTGAGGAGCCATTATGGGAAGGTAAGGAACTCTCCCAATCATCATCAGAGAGGGAAGAGGTATTATCAGGGATTCAATCAGACTCTTCTAAGGAACCTGTTCCCAATGTCCCAATTTCCATAGATGATGAAAGCACACCTTTATCCACCAAGGAAATTCAATCAGTTTCCTCCGAGCCTCTGCATGAGAACAGAAGGGAAACCACTACCAAAGTGCTCCCCTCTAAAGTCCAAATGGATGACGTCGTGATTGAATTGAGCGACTCAAATTCGAGCCACGCACCGCAGAAAAAATTCCCGACACAAGCTGCAACACCCACAGTCGAAGCTGCCACAAAAGCACCTGCAGTCGAAGAACCTTCGTCCTCGGGTGCTCCCGCTGAGGTGGAGCTGAATGAGGACAGCTGCAGTCGGGATCTGCTCGACACACTATCCACATCGAAGAAGGCCCGGCGGGACCTGACAAAACCACAAAAGCTGCGTCCCACGCTCAAGCAGACGCCCATCAGTGTGTCCGACAGCGCCGACGAATCGTCAGATGCCTCGCAGCTCGTCAAACCCAACCGTACCAAATCGGATACGCCGCCATCTTCAGCTCCGTCGCACCAAGTGGCCAAGCGGACCAAAAAGCAGATTGCTGCCAAAAGCGTGGAGGCAACAGCACCTGTGGACACGCCCAAGCGTCCATCTCTGTTGATGGCGCGTCGTAAGTTCCTTAAGCCAGTTCGTCTGCCCTTCCATCCGCATAAACGGACCCCAGCCCAACTAGCCGTCGATAAGGAGAGAGCCAGAACCAAGTGCCCATCTCTGTTCTTTCTCCCAGTCCCAGTCTCCCAGTCTTCCCCCAAGCCAGGATCAGAAGCGCAAGAGGATCCCCCTTCAGTTGAGGAGTCTGTAGAGGTAGTAAAAGAACTGCCTCAATCATCACCAGAGAAAGAAACATCACAGACTCATTTGGAATCCTCCAAGGGACCTGTCCTTAGTGCCCCAATTGCCATGGCAGAGGAAAGCATCCCTCTACCTGCAGTTGAGGAGCCTGTAAATCATTCATTACCAGAAAAAGAAGGGAAACGCGCAGAGATTCGATCAGAACCTTGCAAGGAACCTTTCCTCAATGCTCCACCTCCAATTGAGGAGCCATTATGGGAAGGTAAGGAACTCTCCCAATCATCATCAGAGAGGGAAGAGGTATTATCAGGGATTCAATCAGACTCTTCTAAGGAACCTGTTCCCAATGTTCCAATTTCCATAGATGATGAAAGCGCACCTTTATCCACCAAGGAAATTCAATCAGTTTCCTCCGAGCCTCTGCATGAGAACAGAAGGGAAACCACTACCAAAGTGCTCCCCTCTAAAGTCCAAATGGATGACGTCGTGATTGAATTGAGCGACTCAAATTCGAGCCACGCACCGCAGAAAAAATTCCCGACACAAGCTGCAACACCCACAGTCGAAGCTGCCACAAAAGCACCTGCAGTCGAAGAACCTTCGTCTTCGGGTGCTCCCGCTGAGGTGGAGCTGAATGAGGACAGCTGCAGTCGGGATCTGCTCGACACACTATCCACATCGAAGAAGGCCCGGCGGGACCTGACAAAACCACAAAAGCTGCGTCCCACGCTCAAGCAGACGCCCATCAGTGTGTCCGACAGCGCCGACGAATCGTCAGATGCCTCGCCGCTCGTCAAACCCAACCGTACCAAATCGGATACGCCGCCATCTTCAGCTCCGTCGCACCAAGTGGCCAAGCGGACCAAAAAGCAGATTGCTGCCAAAAGCGTGGAGGCAACAGCACCTGTGGACACGCCCAAGCGTCCATCTCTGTTGATGGCGCGTCGTAAGTTCCTTAAGCCAGTTCGTCTGCCCTTCCATCCGCATAAACGGACCCCAGCCCAACTAGCCGTCGATAAGGAGAGAGCCAGAACCAAGTGCCCATCTCTGTTCTTTCTCCCAGTCCCAGTCCCCCAGTCTTCCCCCAAGCCAGGATCAGAAGCGCAAGAGGATCCCCCTTCAGTTGAGGAGTCTGTAGAGGTAGTAAAGGAACTGCCTCAATCATCACCAGAGAAAGAAACATCGCAGACTGCAGAGGAAACTAAAGTTCCAGTCACAACACCTGATGATGCACCAAGTGAGGCGGCCACAGTTGAGCCTACTCCTGCCCAAGGCGTTGAGTCCCCAGCTGAAATTAAATCTGCCCCAGAGGGGGACTCGATCAGAGTCGAAACGCAGGCGGCGCCTGTGGAAACTGATTCTGAACAGAACAAAAGGCAAACGCTAGCGACGGAGAAGCAGCTCCAAAGTAATTCTGAAAACGGAAACCAATCGCTTGAAGAAAAAATCTTCAAGAAAGTTAAACCAGAGACGGAAACGGAAAACCGGGAAAAGCAAGAGGCAGAGGTGGCAGCAGAAGGGGCAGCCAAGCAGGATGCAAAGAAGGCAACACGACTGGGGCGCAAGGACGAGCACTCGCACGCTAGGGAGGAGGTATTGCCTGCCGCCAAGAGGGTAACCAGAAAGGGCTCGTCCGTGGAGAAAACAACAGAGGCCAGCGACTCGGAGAGACCAAGGAGGCGGGGCCGCAAATCGATCTCCGAGAAACAGCCGATCCTCGAGGACAAGGAAGCCAACATGGACACGGTCCAGAGACGGGGACGAAAGCCGTCCAAAGAAGTAGACGAAGCAAACCCAGAGCCAGAGACGTCCAAATCCAATCCGGAAAAGCCCAAGCGACGTGGACGCCAGCCATCAGCAGAGGAGGCAAAGGACATCGAAGCCAAGAACAAGGAGGAGGAGATTCTGAATACCATCGAAGAGGAAGAGATGCCATCCGAGCAAAGTAAACTGAAGAGGGCCCTGCTACCTTCAACTACAGAAGCTCGCCCCGAGACAGCGAAGCGGGGTGGACGGCTTCCATCAGCGGAGAAGAATGAACCACAGGAGGCCAAAGCCCAGGAGATCGTGCTACCCAACAAAGATGATCACACTGTGGACTCCGAGCTAAGGAAGCCCCCAAAGGAGGTTCTGCCCGAGACATCGAAGCGCCGCGGACGACCTCCATCTGCAGAGAAGGAGGCTGCAAAGGATGATACACAGAACCCCAAAGCCCTGGGGCTTCTGTTAGCTATCAAAGAAGATCAACCAGCTGGGGCTGGGGCTGAACCAATGAAGCCCCTAAAACGAACCCGTAAGTCCTCGGAGCGTGTAAAAACTAAACAGGCCAGCCAGCCAACAGCCACTAAAGAGGATCAGACAGATGCCCAGGCAGACAGACCCAAGCGACGTGGACGCAAGCCTTCCGTGGATGTCGAGCTGGCAGCTCTGGATGTCCCCGAGAAACCCAGGCGACGGGGACAGAAAGCAGACGCAGCTGATAAAGAACCAGCATTAACGAAGCGCATGGCTTTGGCGGAGCCAGTGGATCCACATCTGGAGAAGATCACTAAGGAAATCGAGCAAGAGCCAGAGCCAGAGCCAGAGCCAAAGAACCTGCTGCTGGACGAGGAGGAGCAAAAGACACGTCGACGCGGACGCAAACCGACAACCGAGACAGTGGATGTACCAGAGGAGCATGTCGAGACAACCAGTTCCCGGCGACGCGGACGCAAGGCGACCGTAGAAGAAGCTAAGGTTGGCCAGGCGGAGCCCAAGTCAAAGCGTCACAGCGCACAGGGTGCACCCCTGGAGGCTCCTGTTCCCGAGATCCAGGAAGCATCAACAGCCAGCGTGAAGCCAGCCCGACGAGGTCGCAAACCAAGCATGGATGTGGATCTGGCAGAGAAGAAAAAGCCAACCCGAGCTGTCCGGAAACCATCGGCGAGTATCGACGAGGGGACATCCCAAGCCAACAAGACAACGGCACGACGAGGACGCAAGGCCTCCGCCAAGGAAGAAGGCATCGATTCGCAGCTCACTAACCAAGATGTGCCAACAGGAATCTATGGGGTATACTCCTCGGCCTCCCACATCGAGGATGAGCGGACACCACGACGGCGCAGTGGACGAAATATTCCCCGCAAAAACTACAAAGAAGTCTCCGACGACGACAGCTCGGGTACACGGTGCAACCGCAAGCCGGTGACTCTGCCGGACCCCACAACTTCGCAGAGGCGTGAGAGACGCAATCTACCGCGGAAGAACTACACAGAACCCCCCGACGATGACGATGACGATGACAAGCCGACCCCGTCCCGCAGCCGGCGCCAGAGGAATCCGACAGTCAAGACCCTGGAGCTGATTGTGGACACCACGCCCAGACCAGCCACGTCCAGGCGACGCAAGGGCAAGGCAGGCGCTGAGGAGCCGCACGAGGAAGATCTTCCAGTGAAGAAGACGTGCACAGAACTTGCAGAGGAGCTACCAGCGGTGGCAACGACCGCCGCTGTTAAAGGACGTGGCACCCGTCGCAAGGTCGAGAATGTGGCCGAAGCAGAGTCTGCAGAGATGGAGGAGGCGGAGCCCAGGGCAGCAGCCAGGAAGAATACGCGTGGCAACGCACGCAAAGCCAAAGTCGGGACTGACTCAGACTCAGAGGCTCAGCCGGCCGCCAAGAAAGCACGTGGCGGAGCCCGTGCCAAGACCCCAGTGCGGATGATTTCCGACGGGGAGCAGCCAGAGCCTACAAAGGAGCCCGCGGTGGCTGTGGCCGCCAAGAAACCAGCCCCAATTTTCGAACCAGAGGCAGAGCAGCCAGCTCCGTCAACGGAACCCGTTGCCCCAACAGCCCCGATGACACGCAGCCGTGCCAAGAAGGTTCTCTTCGAGGCCACTCCGGCCGTGGCAGAGTCCGCCTCCAGCAACGACGAGGCGCCCAAGAGAGCCCTCCGCCCCCGCCGCAAATAAGGAACTGGGTTTCATTTGCCATCTTGCACTTTGCCCAGTTGTTTTATAAATAAATATTCTCTATCGTACAATTTTTGTTATGCTTTCACACACTTTACGAACTTCTGTATAATATAAAATTACTTCTATCGGCAGCTCGATGCATGGTTAGAGATAACCAGCTCTATCGTTAATACTGCGTACATATATCCTATCCCCTGTGAGCCCCGCAAAAGGTTCCCATCCCCTTGCTCAGAAATAGTGCTTCCTTCTAGTGCTAGTCATGGCGTTGGGTTGCTCATTGGTGACTAAACTATACTTACGTATAGCTAAGCATATTTCAATTTGTTCTTCATATTTTTAAATATTTTAATCATGTACTGGCTTACTTGGATTTCTTCCTCATTCATGTTCAAATAATTTGTTAATTGGTATAGCATTTGTATAGCTTTCATTCACTTTACTTTCCATCGCTATTCACTTTGATGAAGATCTTATGGAATCATTATTTGTTATAATTTGTAATCATATGATTGATATTTTTCATTTGATCCGCTGTGGTTGCTCCTTCTTTGCCCTAATTGTATACCAAGATCGTTTATATAATTTTCTGTAATCTTATTCAAACTACTTTGTTTATGGCTCATTTCCATTTCAATTGCGAAATGTGTTTTTTCCCTCTCTTTACTCGCGACAACAGCGACTTCTCTGGCTCTTTCCTTTGGGGAAAAGTGAAAACATTTGACGAAAGGTAAAATGCAAATTGCTGGGGCACCTAATAAGGCGCTTAATGCAATTAAAGCCGAGTTCGTGGGTATAGTTAGGGATGCTGGGCCCCATAAAACAATGGAAAAGTGCCAAGATAAAGGCAGATACAAAATGAACAGAAAGACAAACAATAAAATGCCCGGCGGCTGGTTGTGAGTGGGTGAACAGACACGAAGAAAGAATGCTGGACGAGAAGGAGGGGGAGGAGAAAGTGAAAAGAATGGAAAACGCAAAATGAGCAAAATGGAGACAACGGAGCAGCCAAAGGAGCAGCTCTGCAACACGAAATGTTTAAATATTGTTTCGGGGAAGAGACTTCCCCACTGGGGGGTCATTGCCGGGGGAGTTTATCATCTCTTTGATCTTCAACTGTCTGGACCCGGTCCTGTCTGGTAGCGTCCGGTGTCAGTGTCGTTCCTCGCTAAGAGATTAGTGCGGCGCGTCCTTGACGCCATTATAAACGGTCGGTAATCCTCGCTTTTTCCCTCGCTGCCCGCCAGACACGCCGACATCTCCCTTATTAGAGCAAACCATTTTGTTGATTCGCGTCTGGGTTCTAATATATTTTATTTCCCTGTCGGACATGGCACACATTGCCCCCTGTTTATTGCTGCTGGTGGCTCGCCCTCGGCCTCGGCTCTTCTTGTTTGTCAATTTGTTTAGTTAAATATTTGGCTGGCCGTTTCATTTTTAATGGTAATTTTTTGAATAGTTGCAGCTAGATTGGAGAGGGGATTTGGGGCAGGGAAGGGCGCACTACCGAGCACAGCAAGGAACTTGATTTACTTGTATTAAAGTCCGGAAATAAGTTTAATAATTATCGTTCATTTTGTTTAGCTACATATGTATATAGTATATATATGGTCAGTCTGTAAAAAAGGCAATTCCTCTCCCTCTTCCGATTTTATTAGAAATGGTTAATGTCCAGCAAACCGAAAATAATTGAATGATCCAAAAACTGAAACTGAAACTGAAACTGTAATGCATAATTGAGTGGCTTCCATTGAAATGCCATGTGCCCCCCACCCAACCGATTCAATTAAATCTCAATGTTCAGCACTGAAGCGACGGCCGTGAGTGGGAATTGATTATGATATAATTTGAAGAGCGATTCGAGGAGCCTGAATAAATTAGTTGTGAATTAATGGGGCAAATTATCGCATGATATGAGAGCCATTAAATATACCACCCCAGCTGACTGTTTCACTTTCTCTCGCTGTCTGTCTGTCTGTCTGTCTCTGTCTCTGTCTCAGTTGAGGTCTGCAGCCTATTCAAATATTAATTCGCATATAAAAGTCACTTGGACAAGCTCCATAAAGATAAATATCTAAATAGCTAAGTAAATGCAGGTCCTTGGAGGCAGTTGGCAGAGGGATAGGGATAGGGATAGGGATACAGAGAGTCGAGTTGAAGAGCATACAAAAGCCACAAAAAGCCCCGATTCCAAGGATGGCCAAGGACGACAACGCTGCTCGCAACAAGCTTCAAAAGTTAAGTGCCCGCCACAAAATAAGCCAAAATGTGGAAATGCCGTAGGAGGTTGGAGACTCTGAGGCTCTGTGGTTGTGGCTGAGGCTGGGGCTGGAGCTGGGGCACGGGCTGGGACAGTGGCAAGATGATGATGCACAAGACAACTAAATTTGCTCAGTAGTGCAATTATTACTAATAGGGCTAATAAGCACGTCTTAAGTGCCACACACACACACACACACACACACACACACACACACATAAATACATAAATAAAAAAGAAAAAAGAGAGAGAGAGAAAATAATGTGATAAACTCGATTAAATTTCGTTGGAAATAAAATGCGCCATCATCACAATTGCACGAATGGCGGAGGCCGCACAAGCAGAAGGAGCCTGGCATGAATTGCAGTTTAAGGATATCACAATCACCCACACACACTCACGCATATAGAGAACACATATACACACACAGCGACGCAAGGCGACACACACACAGAAGCACACCTAAATTTGACCATTAAGGTCGCCACAATGGCGGGGCCCGTCAACGCTTGATGATGATAAGAATGATAAACGGAGCGACGTGAGAGGAACCAAATGGTAGCACAGCTAGGGGAACTACAGAGAGAGAGAGAGAGAGAAAGAGGGAGAATATATATATACACACACACACACAGACAAACACACAGACAAACACACAGAGGGACGCACACACTAAACAGCCATTGGCGTTGGTTTCCCTTGCACTTATACACATAAAGCGCAGGCAGCCACAACAGCAGAAGCAGCAGAAGCAGCAGCAGCAGGCAGAAAAGAACTAAAGAACTGAAGTGCCTTTAAGGGAATTTCAAATATGCATGAGCCCCAAGAAGAACCTGGGGCAAGAAAGGCAAGAAGAAAGGGGAGAGAAGGAACAAAGACGCAGAGACAGGAGGAGGAGGTGGAGTGAGAGCGAGATGGGCAGGCAACAGGACACAACAATACAACAGCAAAATGAAGTGAAATTCGTATAAAATAAAAGAAAACCCATAACCCACATACACCCGCACTGCACACACACACATGGAGGATGGAAGCCTTGGTTGGGAAACAAAAGAGGAAGAGAAGAAAAGTGTGGCCAGATTGCGGTGTGGCTAACGAGTACGGCTGTACCCTGTAAGGAAGCTGGAGAGGATTGGGTAACCGTACTGTTCGGTACCCATTTGCCCAAACAATTCACAACAGTTTTTCGTGGCTAGCATTTGATGATCGTTCGATTGGCATTCAATAAATCATTGACTTGCAGACGGTCAACAGATTCAAAACTTGCAAAAACATTTGAAAACCATTTGCAGATTGTTTTAAAGAGGTTTTGAAAGGGTTTGAAACATTCTGTTGAGCTTTCAAATAAAATAATATAACTATTAGATATTTAGTTACCTACTTAGGAAAATTGAACCACTTTCTTTAATTAGAAATCGCAACAAAGGCTAGGGAAATGAAGTTAAATAAAATTCCAGCGCTCTTCATTTCCCTCCTTTGTAGCTCCGTGAATATTCATACTTTGACTCTCTCGAAAGGGCCATCCATTCGGCCATACTCATGAACAGACCTCAGGCCAACGGCCATTGAATATAATCAGCTGATGCTGATGCTGAAGCTGGGAAGCTCATAGTTGGCAGAGAATGGACGAGGGCAGTGGGAAACCTTTGCCAGCTTCTTCGCATATGCCACATGACACATAATCAGACCCTTGGCCACCCTTCGCTGTCGTTTTCCGTGCAATTTTCTGGAGCTGGCTTCCACCGTCTTTCCCTCAGTTTATTCCACGGCCAGCAGCTAATGTCCCTCAGACGGGGGAGAGGAAAGGCATTGCTGCCCGGGTTTTTGGCTTTGGTGTCGGCGTTGGTTTTGGTTTTCGGTTTTTGGGTTTTTGGACTTAGCTTTGGGTCTTGGGTCTTGGGGAGCCCTTTCTGGGGATGGCTGGTTGCCTGGTTAGCCGCAGAGCTCAACGCAAAAGGCAACAAAAATGTGCTGCAATAAAAGAAAAGTTAAATTGTAATAAAGCACCCTTGGGGATGGGCGGTGGTAAGGAGAGATAGGGCCTGCGGAGAGCAACTATGCAAAAGCCGCGAAAATAACAAAACTTTTGTTGTGCCAAAAAATTTGGCCCTGTCCCCTGTCGATTGGTGTAGCTGTATCCCACCGCTTTTCCCCCGTTACCCTTTCTTCTATCATTTCCGTTCTTTGTGCCCCTGGAATTGAAAGCAACAACAACAACAGCATCTGACAATTGTGGTTCGGTTCTCGCAGTGCCTCAAAGATTGTCAGTGCCAGAAGTTGAAAGTGAAGTTGCGACAGATTGCCGGCCATCCATGGAAATTGAAGTAAGCAACTTGAGTCCACTGGGTGTAGAACTTTTAAACAATGATAAAGGATGGACGGAAATTAAAGGTAGTGGAATTGATAAGGTGATACTTTCCATGCGATTCGGTGGGATCTTTTCAAGTAAGAGCCAATTACTCGCAACGAGCCATGGCAGCAGCCGCCTTCAGCTTGAATGCTGTGCAAAGCTTTGAATCTTAAATAATATTTAGTTTAATCTTTGAATCCAAAATAATATTTAGTTTATATAATGTTTTGAGAACTTTTATGCTGTAGTCTGAAGTGTTTTCTATCTAGCTTAATCCAAGACGGATCTCGCTCTTAATATTATTATTCCGTTTTCTCTTCTTATTCTTTGCGCTCTCTGCGTGGAGAGCGTAATTACTCCTGGTTTGGTGCTGAGAGCACAGTGGGAATATTTATTTATCTTTCAGGCGTTAAGCTGCAGATACAAAAGGTCTGGATTGGATTTATATCTGCATTTGT